GCCTGGAGCTGTTTTTTTCTTATTGGATCAATATCTATAACTTGGAAATGGGACTGAACAAAACATTTTGAATAGAGGGAGATGAGACTTTTCTACCCATGAGCTCCACAGCTATTTGCTGAAGCCAGAAGAAGATTGAAGACTGAGCATGACAGAATTTCCCTTCCAGTCAGTCCCTGTCTACATCTTTGCTCCTGCTTTTTACCACCATGTGGCAGCTGGTTTTAGCCTTTCCCTCTGCTGCCACCCATCCTTTTGCACCACTTACCTGTTCCCTGCAGTCCCTTTGTGTCAGTTGGTGCATGTTGAGGTTTATCCTGTAATACATGCAAGAAACAGAATTCCCAAAGTGTTGGGATGCTAACTGGCTCTTTCCATCTTCCTTTCAGGCCTATCTCACTGATTTCCTCTGCCAGTTTGCACAGCAGCCTTGCTATGCAATGTTTTCAGACCATCTCAATGAGAATGAAAAGCGAGTGCTACAGGCCATTGGGATATAAACCCACCCGAGAGACCACACCAAGCATATCTGAACAAGACTTTGGTTTGGCTTAGTCCACGTTTTATGACTGAACATAAAACATTTTCCAGTGTCTGCCTGCTTGTTGCAGGTGGATGACAGCCTCGTTGCGATGTGTTGAGCCTCATCTTAACGTGAATCTGGTAAGGGAAGGAATACTAAGCAAGCAGCAAGGACAGAAGGCTGTAGAGCTTTGCACATTGGTCTCACCATGGGAGCACTTTCATTTTCCACAGTAACTTTCCAGGAAGGTTCTTCAAGATAAAAATAAAAATATGTGTCCTTAATATTTTTAAAAGCAAACTCTCTCTACCTGTGAAGAGGCACATAACTGAGTTCCCCACAGCACAGCTGGACAGAGAAAGGAGTTGGGTCACTTACAGGTTGCTTGGATGTATCTTGAGAAGTCAGAAGGTTGTTCCTCTTCACGCTCAGATGACACATACAGGGTAAATATCTCGATCTCACAGTGTGACTTCTTTTTATAGAACTATAGACTCTTTAATCAGAGATGCCTGAATGGTGTGGAACCTGTTTACAGGAGTTTAGATGGGAAGCTGAGACAATAAACCCAAATGCATATCTTCTTTCCTGTTGTGGATGGGGCTTTGTCACTCACGTCTCTGTCCAGTCCCATGGGAGCAGTTCTTTACTGATGCTTTGTGTGCACATGCTCAGAGGAAGCTACCACTGAAATTTCTCTTCCTGTGGCATGTGGCTACTAAAGACTTTGGTTTTATGGAACACGAGGAGCCACAATTGAAAAACCCTGATTGTATTTAACATACCTGCTCCGTGGCAGCCACTCTGAACTCCTTTGCTTCCTTCACACTCCTGTGTGTATTTTTATAGAGTGGTAAATAACATTTGCAGATTGATTTATCCATACAAACAGCGTGATGTATCTCACAACACCTCTCTGCCTTTGGATCCCCTTGGGGAAAATTGAAAATAAAACTATTAAAATTTACATTGGTATCCTTCTTATGAAACAGATTTCAAAGGAATTTGCACTTCTTTCCTGAAGTTGCTTTTTTTAGACACATCTCTCCTTAGGAAACTTCGTGCATGTGCAGCCCAGAGGATGTTGGGGGACTTCACAGGAGTCAGCTGGACAGAAAGGGAGTCCTGTAATGGCTACATCTTCTGCTTAAAAGAAAAGGCTGACCCATTATAGAGTTTCCTTTCTTAAGAAAGGTACTTGCTGTTCCTTTGTGGAATAATATGCTTCGAAGTTGTATCTAAAAACCTCCAACGAGCTGGAGTAATTCTGTACCTGACACAGTCTAGCTTTTCACGTTTTTACCAGGAGGGGATAATAAATTAACTTTTTATCAGACAAAAGATGGCACAATTTGTTTAGTGTGTGTGGGGAAGGTGGTAAAACATCCCGGAATTCCAAGGCAGAGCTTGCTCCCTGCTCCCACCCCGACCCAGCTCATTGCACCTGAGAAAGGGGCAGGATTTGGGGGGTCTCCCCCACCCTTCACTGCAGCCTCAGCTGAACCATCCTCAGGTTCTCGATGGGTTTGTGTGGACAGCACCACGGGAAGCAGGATTTGAAGCCTGATTCGTGTGTGTCCGTGTCTGTGCCTCCTAAGGTATAAGCTCTGATCAATGCAGTCGTGTCGCGATATCTTTCTTCCCTGTGGGTTCTTTGGTGTATGATACCATTAAACTTGGAGCCATGACCTCCCTTCGGGGGAAGGAACACTGGGTCTCTCTTCTGCTTAGCCTGTTTTACATTGTTTTGTGAAGTCCTCACACAGGAGTTTTGTGCCTCAGCTTTCACTGGAAAAGGCCGACAAGTTAAACTACACAGTGCAGCCCCTTGGGGAAACCCAACCAGGAGGAGGTGGCTGTGGTGGTGTATCCCGATAGCTCTGCAGGGAGTCATTGGTCCCAGCCCCGGGAAGAGGCAGGACCATGGGTTTTGCCCCATGTGTTGGCAGCAAGGCTCAAACCCACTCATCCGTTCTTGGAGGTAAGTGAAATCCAAGCACATGGAAGCACCTCCGTGTCAGTTCGGGTCTGGAGGGGATGGGCTGATGGGATCCATGTGCTTCTGGTGGGAGCAGCTGCCACGTGCCTTGGTGGTGCTGTGGTGGGGTCAGATGGTGGGTTTAAACGAGATCATGAAAATGAGACTGATCTCATGCTGCCGATGCTGTTCCTCATCATGAATGGAGAAATCCAAGGATTTCTTTGCCATTGCAAGGTCCAAAAGAGTAGACGGGCCAGTGTCGTGAAGAGTTCCTGTGGGAGCTTGTCGGTGTGGTGGGTAGGAACTGCTTTGATTTGTTGGTATTGATGATATTTCCAGGAGTGTCGCTGGTGAAAAGCGAAAGGTTGGGGGGGATAAGGCTGGACAGGGCTTGGAGCAACCTGCTCTCTTGGAAGGTGTCCCTGCCTCTGGCAGGGGTTTGGAACTGGATGAGCTTTAAGGTCCCTTCCAACCCAAACCAGGCTGGGGTTCTGAAGTGTCTCTTGGAGACTCACGCTCATCCTCCCGCAGCATCAGCTCCCGTGCAGCCTGTGCCCACACTGATGTAACAACTCCTTTGCTTTCCTGCGGCCTGACTTTCTGCTTCTCCTTCCTAACAGAACTGTGTGCTCGGTGATGTCTCTTCGAACGGGAATTGTGTTTGCTGAGGGGCTGTCAGTTTGCTGCAACAAACCTGACCAGTGCCGAGGTCACTGCTCAGGACGGAACGCGATGGCTCTGTGGTCTGGTTTCGAGGTGCAGAGCACGCCTCTTGTTGCGCACTGAGAAGTCTAGTCGGGAAGGCTACTAATGCCGCATTAGGATGTACAAGCTCCCTGCGATCTAGAGTAAAGCTGAACGTGGAG